GTGTGTGTGTGTGTGTGTGTGTGTGTGTGTGTGTGTGTGTGTGTGTGAGTAAAGTTCTATGCAGTATTGTCCCCTGGGGATTCATGTGACTACAGTGAGGACCCAGAGCAGCTCCATCACAAGGACCCCCCAGGCCACCCCTTATAGCCACAGCCAGCCCCTCCCTCCCCCACCCACCCAGCAGCCAGTGGCAGCTGCTAATCTGTTCTCCATCTCTGTAATTTTGTCGTTTCAAGAGTGCGATATAAATGAAAAGAAATTACTATAGTTTATCCTTGCTCTCCCAGCACCATTAAAAAGTCATGTTACACTTTTCTAAGGGAAGAGTTTCATTGGGCCTTTCTGCAGGGCTCCTGTCAAGCTATTTTAAATCATACTTGGTATTACAGTGAAGAATATGAAGTGTTGGCTTTCTTTTTTTGTGTTTATTTTGCTGTTCACTCTGTCCATTACTGTGGGTGCGGGGGGCTGAGTTCATCAGTAACTTGTTTCTGCCCTTTGGTTGTTGATGGTAATTCCTGCTGACATTGAAAAAAACAACAAAAGCAAAAAACATTTGTCAAAGGAACTCCTCTGATGGGCAATTGTTCCTGCACAGTGCGTGGATCCAGGCAGAAAACGCCTCCACTTGCTTGCTGATAGCTTGTATTATTCTGCTATTTGTTATAAGATACTGACAGCTTTATAGGTGTTTACATTTAAAAGGATGGTACTTAATGCTGATGCCAGAGATTATACCAGCTTCTCCGCCAATAGCGGTGCTCACTTCTTTCTCTAAACTTTTCTGAAATTGCAAGCCTCTGGTGTTTGGCATGTCCTTACAAATGGCCAACAGCTTCTTTCCTAGGCCAGAAATAGAAAGGCCTTCTTAGAGATTATGTCGCTGATGAATAATTAAAACCCTGGTGTGGTCCTGACTGCCGGATCACCCTCTCCATCAGCCTTGGTGAGATTTAGAGCTCACCTGCAAAACCTTCTTCCCTGCAAGAAGTATACTCGTTGCTGGTGAGTTTGAATCTCATCTCTGGATACTTTCTACCAGGTGGAAGTCTCTTGACTCATTCCATCAAAGTAAGCAGATGTGTATTTACAATAGCTTCACAGACTGAAACATTTCCCGGTTCATAATTCCGGATGTGTGGTGGCTTCTGCTCCTCACTGCGCCGTCCTTTAGTGCTGCTCAGTGCCTCTGCCCCGACGCCACACCACAGGGACTGCCCTGGACCACGTGCCTATTAAAAGAATCATTCATGAAAGGGTTTAAGACCTTTGGCACCTAATTAAGCGTTTCTCCCTGATGCTAGTAATAACTATCTTCCAGTACCAACTGTGCCAGGTGTTATAATAGGAACATCCTGACCTTCCCTTTTTAATAATCCTCTGGAAAGATACCATTCCGGTTTCGCAGATGAAAACACTGAGCCTCAGAGGTCATACGGCTAGTAAGTAGCCTGACCTGAAATTGAAACCCTGGATCCAGCGTTCAGAGCCTGTACTTGACCACGCCGCTTCTTTTGACCTAACTTAGCGGGCTCTCTGATATTGGAAAAGGGTTGTCTCCACGGGGTAGTGAACTTGCTGAAAGCATCTTGAACCATATAATATCAGCACTGAAAAGAGCAGCACAGAGCTAGCTTGACAGCTTGCCCGGTACAGGGCTTCCTTTTCCAAATCCGCTAAGTCACTGGGCCCTGGTCCAGCCCGGCTAGGGGTGGGGAGCTGACCACTCCCTGGGTGCTCTGTGCTGTGCTCTGAAAGCCCTCGTAAGAGAGCACCTCTACAATGAAGCCTGCAGCCTTTATCTTGAACATGTGGATCTCAGTTCTGCCCGGTGCAGTTGCTTCCACAACACAGTCCTTCATGGTTTTTTAATAAATGTGATTCTTATCTCCTTTAATTTTGCCATGAAGGTACTGGACCCTCCCAACATTACTCGCAGTGACCAGTGTCTAGGTTGGAGGGAGAGCTTTAAAGATTCTCAGAAAAGCATGCTTGGATTAACAGGTTTACAGTCGACCCTTGAACAGCACAGGGGTTAAGCCACGTGTAGGTTAGGCTTGGCCCTCTGTATCCAAGGCTCCTCCGAATCCACATCTGAGGTTCCTCCACATCCGTGGATTCAACCAACGAGGAACTGTGCAGTGCTGTAGTATTTCCTACTTAAAAAAAAATCCACACGTAAGTGGCCCAGCACAGTTCAGACCCACGTTGTTCAAGGGCCAACATGTATATGAAACCGGGAAACCTTCCTTTCTTTGTTCCCCCTTTAACTCAATCCATATTTCCAACAAGGACCTCCCTGGTGAGCATCTGTCCCCGCTGTAGCGCTCCCGTAATATTGCCTTCTCGCATTGAAGTCAGGCTCACACATGTCCCCCACGGCCTCGGCGTGCTGTGATAACAGGGACCTTGGGCTGGGCTCCTAACAACCCTGTTTGGTGTCTGCAAAGCCCTTCTTTTGTTTTGGCCCTTATGTCAGCTGGTTTTCTTCTAAGCGTATCCAAACCAGCTTAGGCTGAAGCGATCCAGTCATGCAAAGAAGGATCAAGTGAGTGTTTTCCTG